CGCAATGGAATTTGGAGAAGTGCATCATTTTAACCTGCAGTTTCACTCCAGGTTCCTGCTCGTTAACTGCATATAAACTCACTCCACCTGGTTATGAATGGGGACGTCAAGTCAATAAACAAGGCAGCGAAGGCGATATAACTCCACAGGGATACCTTCCAACTCATTATGAGAAGGTTCAGATGCTTCTCAGCGACAGATTTCTTGGTTTCTTCATGATACCAGATATTGGTTCATGGAACTACAATTTCATGGGGACGAAGCTTACGTCTAGTATGAAGTATGACATCAAGCTTGGGATACCCAAGGAGTATTATGACCAGGACCACCGGCCCACCCATTTCCTGCAGTTCAGCAACTTGGAGGAGGGTGACAGAGAAGTCGTTCGGGACGATAACTTCGCATAAATATTTTTTTTTGGGAATGAAGGCCAAAGGTGTACAAGGTTATGTTTTTCCCATCACCATACTCATCATTCTTGTCATAATCACTGTCTGTAGAATAGAAAGTTTAGTATTTTACTGGATAGCGTAAGTAGCCCATTTGAATATATTTGTTCTGTTCATATGTTTGTTGTCTTCCTTATGAGTTTATGTTTTCTAAACTTCTTTACATATGCTTCATCATTAGTTGCTAATGTGCATATATTTAAGCATAAATAGCTGAATAATCAAACTGCCAAATGCTAACCTTTCGAGAATATCTCAATCCCCCCAGAATTTGGATAAGATAGTATGCCATTTAGCCAATGACAAAGGTATCTTAGATATTTAGGACACAAATCTGCAGACAAATTTGTTGCGTCCATGATGCCAGGAGGCAAACATGGGATTCGAATTTAAGGACATGAGAGGCATAGCTCAACTGAAAAACAGAGGCCACACAGGTCATGGGCACAACCTAAGCTCTATGTCTTGACCTTAGGAAACTTAAAGAGTTTTACAAGTCACATATATATTATAAAGACATGAGTGATCCTAGGCCATCAATAAGGAACAGGATTATAGGCCACACAAACTCGCATTCAATTCCAATAAAACATTCATAATATATACTCTACAATTATATCATTCTTATCCTTGCGTAGTTGCAGTTCAAGATATTACAAATTCACATGAAAAAGAATCCTCCTCATCAACCATGTGTTTGAGAGAGAGAGTCAACTAGTGTAGCAGACACACGTGTCATTGGCTTTTCATGGGATATCTGAAATGCAAAAGATTGTGAGGCATCTCTTTAGGCTTTTGAGCTCTTTGGACTTTGGCCAGTTTGGTGGAGACAGTTCACACCTCACACAGTTTGCTTTTAACCCCCACGACGATGGTTCGTTTTGGTAAATCTTAATGCAGCCAGCAGCTCATTAGCTAAAAGCCATCTTAAACAACCGACCAGTGCTCAATAAAGTAAAAATCCTTGGATTAGTAAAGTCTTAATTATCACTTATCTGAGCATCTACAACTGTCCATCATGGTAATTACCATGAGAGAGTAATCTTTTATTCTTTTTCTTTGGGATGACATAATGCAATGGCATCCTTTTTAATTTGTCATCTTGCTCTTTAATTATAAGGGTTGACCGTTGACCAAAGTTCACCTAACCAAGTCACATGAGTGTTAGGGTAAAGGAAGCATGAAAAAAAGGCAGGCAAAAAGAAAAAAAAACACAAAAAAACAAAAGAAGGTTGTTGGTTCATAAGATCATGAGTTCATATCATGAAGTGTCAAGACTGAAGAGCCTAACTGGAAATGTTAACAATATATATATTTATATATGGACGAACTTGCAACCTGCTATTTTTCCAGCTGTAACACCAGCTGTGCCCTGTTGATCCCAAACTAAAAGGGGGAATAAGAAAAGGAAAAAAAGAGACCCTCTAACCACTCTTAAATCACTTGCAAATTGAGCCCTCCAAGGAGCTGGCCAGCAAGCAATGAAATCGAAATCAATAAAACCGGAGAAAGCGACACCGTTTCATGACTGCAACCACTCTCTTCCCTGGACCCGTAAGGCTTTATGAAACGGAGAATCACTCGTGTTTACCATAACTTAAGCAGTAAAAATGCACAATACTCATATATAGCGCTAGTGATTAAAAATAAATGTCCTAAACATGCGAAGAGCTAGTATATTTTAAATACGAACGATATCATAAGAATGTAAAATCGAACATAAAATCTCAGAAAATATGATTTTCGAGAAAAGCTGAAAAATTATAAATTCCTCCAAATTAATTTTGTAACACTCCTTCCTTCCGCATGACATGTGATATATCAGATGCTTAATAGTTTTGAGAGAAAACCCTCCTTCCACATTGTTTTGGGAAGTTTCTTCCCAAAGCGAAAAGTCCTCTCCATCCCCATTTCTTTCCAACTTTTTGTCCTCCCAAACAAGCACTACGCATCTCGAGCCCTGAAGTGCGCTGCACAGTGTATCCAGTTGTTGTTGCATGTCGTTTTGTACTTCCACAGATGTCTCTCTCTAACGCTTTCACCTGCCTGCCTGCCGCCTAGATTCTCTTCCGCGTATCAAAACTTTCCGGATCCTAACTCCCTCTCTACTCCACCACACCACAATAAAACTTTTACCACACATGGGGCCCACTACCCAACAAAACCAAACTCAACCTCCTCCCCTGATCAACTAAGCTTCAAACCACACGTCCATCCTTCCGCATCCATCTAAGCCATCCATTCCTCTCTATATAAACCCCCCAACCCAACCTCATTCCAATCTCAATCTCCCCAAAACCCAACCAAAGAAAGAAACAATCTTTAAACAAGTCTTTTAGCAATAGCCTCATTTTCTAAACCCAATGGCTAGACTTGGTCTGATTTGCTTAGCTCTAGCTGGGTTCATGGTGATTCAAGCCACCATGGCTGATAAATCCCAGGATTTGGAGCTGAATCCATTTGAGGAAGTGAAGTTCCAAGATGGGGTTTTTGTCAGAGAAGCAGAACACTCTGTTTCTGTTGCTGCAGAGCCATCATCTGAGAGTATGCAGGAAGCCGAAGGGGCTGAAGCTCCAACTAGCAGGCGTTTGGGACCAGGAAAGCATCACTCTGATAAGTCTGTGGCTGGAGGAGGTGTCATCATTGGTGGCCTCGTCACTACCATTTTTGCAGCTGTTTTCTGCTACATCAGGGTTACTAGAAGACGGGGTGGTGTTCATTAAGCTCCTTGTTGCATTTATATATATATATATATATATGAGAGGATAAGTGAGTGTAAAGGAGTGATTTTGATCAACACAGATACAAAATGATATCAGAATTAGATGATTTAGTGTAGTCAGAGATTTATCTTATTATTATTATGAATATTAGTGAGTGTGAATATTAGATTGAGATTGAGATTGAGATTGAGATTTCTTTGAAGAATATGCTTTATTTTTGTGCATTTGCTCTGGTTAATTGCTTTCGTCTTCCTTGATCTTTTTCTATTTTCTTAAGTCTAAGCTGAGATATGGCCTGGTTTATGGTCTGCAACAACATGCCTTATTTTCTTTCCCTGGAAGCAGCAGAATGTAGGATTTCCCAGAGAAGTATTTTCTATTTTAAATCATTTGGTTTGGTCTGCCAAAAAATTCTAAAGCTGATTATGTCAAGGGTTCCAAAAGAGAGAGAGCAAAATTATAGTGTTTGCATCATGGACACACAAAATTTGAGTGCTCCAAGAAAGTAGGATTTGCCAAGCACATGATTTTTCATATAAAAATAAGAGGCAGGTCGGTGCCTCTGTCATGCTGCAACCACCCTACAATATTGATTTTTATGTGCATGAAGTTTTCCATCTTGTGGAGGTTTTATCATAAATGAACGCGGAATCATATATATATATTATAATGAATATTCACCTGACTTGTTTGTAAAAAGGAAAGAGTCAACTGGAAGAAGACAAATCTTCCAGGCTTTCACATGCGAAGCAAGCACTAGACCAAAATCTTTCTTTTGGAACTACATTCCCCTGCGTTTTCATTTCAGTCACTCACTCTATTGTTTTTCTGTTTATAGTATTCAATTAAAATGCAATTAAACAAAGAAGTTCAATTCAACGTCCACCAGCCCACCAACCCAGCATTTGTAATTGGCTCCTCCAGGCATTCATGACTCTGCCGGTGGATGCGACTCCTTTTCCTAAATGGGGCTTTTTAATTTATAAATACGACTTCTTCCCTCCTTGTTATGTTATTATGTAAGTAGAAGTTCTTATATTTTTGTCCGTAACATTGGACATGTGTGCAGAAGTTTTGTGTGTGTATTTTTTATGAATTATTTTTGCATGTATTTATCTATGATTCCTGTGTATTTTTTATGAATTATTTTTGCATGTATTTATCTATGATTCGCAGGAAGGAGAAGTATCTTTTACAAGGAAGAAGGCAGAAGTTGTACATTGGACGGTAAATTGGATACGGAAGTTGAACATTCAGCAAAAGATTGAACCGGGAAAGGTTGGCCATTCCTGTATGGAACTATGACTATAGAGCCTCTTTTAGAGTTCACATATCTCTTGGGGTTGACCAACTTTATCAAAATAACTCAAACATGCTCTCATCTAATTGGACTGCTAGCAAACAGATCAAGGGTCTTCTAGTCAAGTTGCAATTTAGTGAAGAAAAGTATCCCTATTTATTGTGGTTGTAGAGGGAGAGGCATCATGTGTCTTCAAAATGCTTGGATGGTCGGTCGTTGTCACTACTTTGTTGATATCTACAATTTAGCTTCTACAATTTAGCTTCTTCAATGAACCAAAAGTTACATGATTAAAAACAAAAACAGAACCAAAAATTGAATGCAGTGGCAGCTATGCAGAACACCAAATTGAAGTTTAGGTGAGAGAAAGCACCATGTCCATGTGTTAGCTTAGAGAAATCGTTAATAATGCATAATGATTTAATGTCATAAAATAGTGGGCTTGTTGGCAATGAGGATGTTAGGAAACTCATCCTTGCCATTGAGGAGCCGAACAGTGTTTAAAAGTGAATACATAGTTACCAAATCTTTCTATAAATTGTCATGAGAAAGAGCTAATCGATTAAGGATACAACAAATTATGGGTTACTATATATAGACTTCCCCAGCAATGTAGGTCAGTTGGTAAGGCACTGTGCCGGTCTCCTTGCACCCGAGTTTAAACCCTTACCCGTACATTAGAATAATCCCAATCCCCACCCATCCCAAATAAGATGGGGAAGAAAAGAAAAGAAAATACTTGGGCTAATCTAAGCCTTGATTGAGGACTTGAAGTAAGCCCATCTGAAATTCTTATGCGTTGGGCCAAGCCTTTAGCCCTTGTATGAAAATAGACCCATTAGCTTTTTGGGGTGTCTTTGCCATCGACAGTTAGTCAGTTACATTCAACTATAACTGCCCTCTGTTTTTCCCTCCAGATTAACAAACTCAACTCACAAATCACAAAGAATACCACTTTCTCTCTCTCTCTCTCTCTCTCTGAAGAAAGAAAGAAGCAGACTTGAATCCAACACCAATGGCTTGTTGCACTCGTTGGCATGCAGCAGTCTACTTCACCATGGCTGTAATATTGGCCTTCATAGCAATCTCCATGACACTGCGTTCAGAAGCCAACGATGAAACTTCACAAACCAAACCCATCAGCCACATCGTCTCACTCAACGCCTCAAGAACTCTGAGAAGAGCCGGCTTCAACATCATGGCCACTCTCCTCCAAGTCTCACCAGAACTCTTCTTTTCCTCTGCAAACGCAACCCTCTTTGCTGTCAAAGACTCTGCCATCTCCAACGCCACTCTCCCTCCCCGCCTCTTGAAAAACCTCCTCCAATACCACACCTCCCCTCTCCAGCTTTCAATGGAAGACCTTCTGAGCAAGCCTCAAGGTGCTTGTTTGCCTACCCTTTATCAGCAAAAGAGCATTGCAATCACCAAAGTTGATGAGAAAGAAAGATCGGTTGAGATCAATAATGTGTTGGTTTCACACCCAAATCTGTTTCTTGAAGGACCCATTTCAATTCATGGTGTTCTTGGGCCATTCTCTGCTTTGGATCCTCGAGATGTTTATCAGGGTTGGGATATTATTCAGTCACCTGCCTGTGACTCCAATTCAAATATGATTTCTGATGTTCCTCCTGATTTGAAGAACATGGTTGAATGGTCCCGGATCATCCGATTGCTGAACTCAAATGGGTTCGTTTCGTTTGCCATTGGGCTGCACTCTGTTCTTGATGGGATTCTTGGAGATCATAAGGGTTTGAAGTCTTTGACAATTTTTGTTCCACCAAGCTTGGAGCTTGAAGCATATCCTACTCCTTTGCTTGAGAAAATTGTGAGGTTTCATGTCCTGCCTCAGAAGTTTACAAACAGAGAGCTCGAATCGTTGGCTCCAAGAACATTGCTCAGGACCCTGCTTCATGGTCAGCCTCTTGAGGTCACTGGGGCTGTGGATTTCATGAAAGGATTGGTCATTAGTGGAGTGAACATTGTGGCCCCTGATATGTTTTCTTCCAGCAAGTTCATTGTCCATGGGATTTCCCGAGCTTTGGAGCTGGACGATCTACCTAATACAGCAAGATAAGGTGGTTTCATTTCAACTGGTGCTGGGTAACAATCTCAATGCCTCTTTTCCCTCAGCCAATGGATATTGAAGTCATGCAAAATCGAAAGGCAAAGGCACATCACCTTGCAATCCTTCTGTTTTTGTTTTGGATACATTGGTGTACGTGGTTTTTGCAACACAGGATGATTTTTGTTTAGGATAGAAGGGCAAGTTTCTTTTGCTGCATCTGAACAAGGCATTGTCAAGCAACATCTGACAAGAAATGTACATTCTCAAATGATTCAATTTGTAGTTGAATGAATAAGTGACTGAATAAGAAGTTTAAGACTGTAAGTTGCAATGACATAGGACTCTCATATATAGTTTTCAGTTTATGTGTTAGATGAATGCTACTAGTAATTCATGAATGATAGGCACAGAACACAATCTGAAACCTGCTAAAAGCACGAGTTCTGCACATCATTCGGTCAAATTAACAAAAGCCGGAATTAAGGCTTTGAGAGAGTAAAGGTTGGGGGGGAAAAGAAAAATTTCTGTCAATCAATCAGTTGGCTACTACACAATCTGAGTATTCCACTATGCCTGAATTCTTTTCTCCTCAACAAGGTTATAAAAACCTCTAAACTACAAAAGGCTACACCTTGGACACAATCATTTGTCCTCTAAATTCCTTTCTGATCATTCAAAACTTGATTTGAAAATCTTCAGGCCATTACAGAACAGCAGGTGAAGATCCAGGGATTAGAGTGTGAAACAACAGGGAAGGAAACCAATTCAATAAGCATTTTATGAATCATCAACTTCAGATGTAACACATTGCGAAACTCAGTCCAGGACCAAATTCTCAAATCCAATGCTCCAAGACTGATAACTTAAGAGCCTCTAACTAAGACGACCAAAGAAAACCAGATATTGATATGAATGATATGCAGCCTTAGGCATTGATCATTATCAAGCCACCAAACAAGATGTTATCATCAATGTTCTTCTGGCCAATTCACATTCAGCCACGCATGTCTGTTTTGAAAAGTTATTAACACATTCAGTTCAGATAAGAGGAAAGCTTGGAGTTTGTGATTTCAATTCAACTAGACAAAGAAATTGCTGGATAACTAATTGTGTTCAGTCAAAACAGAGATTTGAATCCTAAATTTTGCATTAGAGTAACAAAAGATTAAATGAGTAAAAACAAGACAGACAAACCTGACTGCTTAGGTCCATGAATCAACTAAACAATACATTGCAAGGATGAGAGGAAAACAAAACATACCAAGAAACTTGAGAGTGAAACCATTCACTCAATCCCATACTCTTTACAACACTTCTAAAGTTAATCCAGTTCCATTCAAGTTCTTACCCATTCAAGTTAATTCAGATGTACCAAACTGTGAAACTCTTTCCAGGTCCGAATCCTCAAATCCAACGCTTCAAGACTGATAACTCACGAGCCTATAACTAAGTCGACAAAAGAAAACCGTCTGCTGATTTGGATGATACGCAGCCTTCAGCATGGATCATTATCATCCCACCAAAGAAGATGTTATTATCAATGTTCTTAGGCCAATTCACATTCAGCTACACATGTCTGTTTTGAAATGTCCAAGCTAGTTGCAAGTAGGATATCCTAAACTTATGTAATTCATTAACACATTCAGATAAGAAGAAAGCTTGGCGTTTGTGATTTCAACTTGACAAAGATTGTGTTCAATCTAAACAGAGGTTCGAACTTCGAATCCAAAATTTTCCATTAGACAACAACAAAAGATTAAATGTGTTAAAATAAGACACACAAACCTGGCTCTTTGGTGCATGAATCAACTGAGAAATACAGTTCAGGGATGGGAGAAAAACAAAAAATACCATGACACTTGAGAGTGAAACCATTCACTCGATCCCATACTTAATCCAGATCCATTCAAGTTCTTACCCATTTTGCTTAATTCGATTTCATAAGTTTTTTAAATCCCAAATTCAGATTATAAGTAACACACTATCCAATCTATAAACCATCACCATAATCACACACAAACAATTTGGAACGAAAAAAGAGAAGAATTACCAAAAATCAAGGTAAATGCTGAACTTTCATAATAATCCTTGTCATTCTCAATCCAGTCAAAGTAACATTAAGCGCACCAAGAAAGCTTGAATTCGTAAACAAATCTATAATCTCCCTAACCTCCTCATCCCCACATTCGTCAACAACCACCACACAAACCCCACCGGCCCTCACAGTCCTCTCCATCTCCGACACAAACCGGTTCGGAAACAAAGCCTTTGCGAAATGAGCACTAAAACCCAAATCAAACACATCGTCAAAGAAGGGCAAGTTGTGGGGATCGGCCCGGCTCACCAGAGGAGGCGAATCGAGGAGCTCAATTCCGGTGACGTCGGAGACGCCCAACTGGTTCAGGGCCATGACCTCGTGTCCGGCACCCGCGGAGACGCAGAGGACCTTGGAGTCGTTGTGCAGGAGACCCATTTGATAACATGCGCGAAAGAAGTTGGAGAAGGACTGGACTTTGTTCTGCCAGGTCTTGGTGGACCAGAGCCGCTTGTTCTTCTTGTGCAGAGGGAGGAGCTCGCGAGGCGATGAGTCGCAGGAGGATTTGGGGAAGCGGAGATGGGGCTTTGGGGGCGAATCTGGTGCGACGCAGGTGTCTGGAGTTTTGAGCAAGAGGAGGATGAAGGTGATTGTGCCTATGGTTATGGAGACGTACGAGAGCCTCTTCAAAAACATCTGTATGTGCCTCTCCATAACAGAGACCAGAAAAAGCTTTGTATCAATGGAGTTATCCACTAGAAAAAACTTGGGTCTTCTTCATTCATGGACCTCGCTACACATGTCGAATTTTCAGCCGCTTGAATTTTCTCAAAAGCCCTCGACTTTTAATCTAATTACACAAATCTCTCCGCCATTAAATTAAAACCACGGTTTTTCCCCCAGCGCCTTTGAGCTTTCAACAACTTCGTCCCTTCCACTGTGATGGCTGTGACTCTCATTAGGAGAGTCTCTCTGCTTCCCCTTCCCGCCAAATTCCGAACGCCGGCTCCGAAAACGGCGACGTTTTCCGAATTTGAAATTCCGGTGTCTTTTTCATTCACTTTCCTCAGTCACTATTTTTCGTCTGCTCTCCGTTTACACCCGTGTTACTATGGCGACCAACAACTCCACTACAGCTACGATTCTGACTCCTTTTTCGCGTCTCTGATTGATGGTTCGACCCAAAAGAGCCACTTGGGTCAAATCCACGCCCAGTTACTTGTATTGGGGCTGCAAGACAGTGGCTTTCTAATCACCAAATTGGTGAATGCAAGCTCGAATCTTGGGTTTGTAGCATATGCCCGTCGGGTGTTTGATGAATTTACTGACCCGGATGTGTTTTTGTGGAACGCAATCATTAGGTGTTATTCTAGGCACATTGTGTTTGTTGATGCTTTAGAAATGTATGCTAGGATGCAAGCAATGGGTGTCAGTCCAGATGGTTTTACTTTTCCTCATGTGCTTAAAGCTTGTAGTGGCTTGCCGGACCTTGAAATGGGTCGCCGGGTTCATGGACAGGTACTCAGGCATGGGTTTGAATCAGACGCGTTTGTGCAGAATGGTCTTGTGGCTTTGTATGCCAAATGTGGCCGAATAGAGCGTGCTAGGGCTGTGTTTGATTGTTTAGGTGAGAGGACGATTGTTTCGTGGACTTCGATCATTTCGGGGTATGCCCAGAATGGCCAGCCTTTGGAAGCTTTGAGGATCTTTGGCCTTATGAGAAAATTGAATGTGAAACTAGATTGGATCGTTCTAGTTAGTGTTCTCAAAGCTTATACTGATGTAGAGGACTTGGGACAGGGGACATCAGTTCATGGTTGCTTAATTAAGATGGGTCTTGAATTTGAACCGGACTTGCTCATTGCACTCACAGCCATGTATGCAAAAAGTGGACAGGTGATGGCAGCCAGATCATTTTTTGATAAGATGGAAACACCAAATTTAATATTGTGGAATGCTATGATTTCTGGGTATGCGAAGAATAGTTATGCTGAGGAAGCTGTAGAGCTATTCCGTGAGATGATCAGTAAAAGTATAAGGCCAGATTCAATCACCATGAGGTCTGCTATCTTAGCATGCGCCCAGATGGGTTCTGTTGGCTTAGCAAGATGGATGGATGATTATATCAGTAAAACTGAGTACATAAATCATGTTTTTGTTAACACAGCCCTGATTGATATGTATGCAAAATGTGGAAGTGTAGATTATGCTCGGATGGTTTTTGATAGAACACCTAATAAAGATGTTGTTGTCTGGAGTGCGATGATTGTGGGCTATGGATTACATGGCCGAGGACGAGAAGCCATTGATCTTTACCATTCTATGCAGCAGGCTGGGGTGCCGCCGAATGATGTGACCTTCCTAGGGCTCCTCACTGCATGCAACCACTCAGGCCTTGTGGAAGAGGGATGGGACCTTTTCCACAGCATGAAACACTACAGGATTGAGCCTGGCAACCAACATTATTCATGTGTGGTTGATCTTCTTGGACGTGCAGGCCACTTGGATCAGGCTTACGATTTTATCATGAAAATGCCAATTGAACCTGGCATAAGTGTGTGGGGAGCACTTCTGAGTTCATCCAAGATTTATCGTCGCGTGACTTTAGGAGAATATGCTGCAGAACAGCTTTTCTCATTGGATCCATATAATACAGGACATTATGTTCAACTCTCAAATCTCTATGCTTCAGCCCGTTTATGGGACCGTGTCGCAAAGGTACGAGTACTGATGAGGGAGAAAGGACTGACTAAGGACCTTGGACATAGCTTGATTGAGATCAATGGGAAGCTTCAGGCATTCCATGTGGGAGACAAGTCTCATCCAAGATCTAAGGAAATCTATGAAGAGCTTGAGAGTCTAGAGAGGAGGTTGAAGGAGGCTGGATTTATCCCACATACAGAATCTGTTCTGCATGACTTGAACCAGGAAGAGACAGAGGAGACACTTTGTAATCACAGTGAGAGGCTGGCAATTGCTTATGGTCTCATTAGCTCTGCTCCTGGGACTACACTTCGGATAACCAAAAATCTTCGAGCCTGTGTAAACTGTCATTCAGCAACCAAGCTAATATCTAAGCTTGTCAACAGGGAGATAGTTGTTAGGGATGCGAAGCGTTTCCATCATTTCAAGGATGGGCGTTGTTCCTGTGGAGATTATTGGTGAAAGAAAGGGAAGGCAAGCAGTAAATTTCTTTTTGTGTTCTGTTTCAGCTTCACACAAGAACACAAGTTAGTTCTCCGTCCGTCTAAACCAGAATTCGATTCTTCGAAGTTGGATGTCTGCCGCGGAATCAGTTGGCCTTGTAGAACTAACACAGATGATCGCGTGAAGCAATTTGCATGGAAGCAATGCAAATTAAGGGGCACATGAGGCAATGCTCGAAATCTTGAGCTGCAAAGAAAATGTTAAAGGTTTTGAACAGAATCATATCAACCCAAACAGAAGCTGGTTTTGGCCAACACTGGGGTAATGGTAAAATCGAAAGGAAGCATATTAAGCAAGACTGTTGTAGGGGTTGCTTGAAGTAGCTTGGTGATGCTGTAAATTATCACTTCACTCGTGAGTTATTCATCCTTAAATCAGTTTGGAATAATTGGAAACAGAATGCAAATATTTTTTCACATGGCGAAAAATATTTAGTCTAAGCAATAATAAAAATTGTTGCTTCCATGTTCCATCTTTCATCTTTTGATCCCGCTAGAATAGCTCTCCAAGTTTAAAGAGCTTTAAGTAGCCCTTAACTAACGAGGATAATATCCACGGTCAACTTATTGATCTTTTGAAATTAAAGAAAAACCATCCGAAACCCAAATGTGAGAGGCATGAACAATAGCGTAGTCTTCAAAAAAAATTGTGGCCTAAACCAAACACAGGGAAAAAAAAAGAAAAAAAAGAGGAATCTTGAACACCTTTTCAATCAACTCCTTGCCACAACTGCTCTAGCAAAGGCTATTCACCAGGAAAACACCAAAATTGCGATGGAAACATATTAGAAAAGTAGGTCATCCTACAGACATCTGCTCGAAAAAGAAACCAACCATCTATGTGTGTGAAACAGAAAAAAGACATATTCGACAATATAACTGTGAGAGCAAGTTCAAT